TGCTAACGAGGCCAGAAACAAACTTTTCCAGTTTCACTGATGCCACTTAATGCAGAAGTATTCTTCAATTAAAACAAGCCCCTTGCTTCCTTCTCCTCTTTTGAGGTATCCTGAGGTCAGCTATTCCAAGAAACAAGCAAACAACCAAGTGTGCAGACGCAAGGATGCGGAATCTCAGGTTTGGGGGGCAAATCTGTTGTAAGCCGCCCCGAGGCTTCAGCGAATGGAGTGGCATAAAAATGTTTTAATAAATAAATAAATAAATACATACATAAATAAATAAATAAATAAATCTGGCCAGCCTGGGGGCAAATCCAGCCTTCTGGAGCATCCCAGATGGCCCCAGCCCCCTTTCACCAGCAGGATGGGGGCTGACTATTCTCTCTGCTGCCATTCTAAAAGGCTGAGATCCTTCCATTAAGCCTAGTTGCTTGCACTAAGAGCTTGAAGCAAAACTCGCTGCTGTTTTTAGTCCCTTTGGCCTACCGCTGGGATGGTAAGAGGCGATATGATAGAGGGGTTTAAAATAGTGCATAGCACGGAGAAAGTGGCGAGGGAGATTTTTCTCCCTCTTCCATAGCACTCGAACTGAAGCTCTTCCCATGGAGCTGACCGACGGGAGGTTTAGGAGAGAGAAAAGGCAGGATGCTGCCTATCGTTAAACGATGGAATTCACTGCCGTGGAGAGTGGTGATGGCCACCCATTTAGACGGCTTCAAAAGGGGGCTGGAGAGATTCATGGAGGAGGCGGCGATGCCGAGCGACCCTGCGGGCAGCTGGTTTGCCGCTGTGTGTCCAGAGTGCTGGACTACATGGACCTTGGGTCTGATCCACAGGGCTTTTCTGATGTTCTTCTGAAACAGGATCTGGCCCTTCGCTTGAAAGAAGGCCACTGCACATGGTATAAAGATGGGGCAAGGTTGACCCGTGCTTGTTTGCAAGTTGAAGCCACATGGAACTAACCTCCTGCGCAAGAGATGGGTCCTTCTCGCTTGGCATCCTGACCAAGACGAAGACCTCGCCCGGCTTTGCCGCTTGAGATTCTTTTAATGGGGACGGTCAGGAACTGGCCGGGGGCCACATTCATGGAAATTACGACAATGCTGGAGAGAAGCAGAATGCACCCAGGGCTAGCGCGAAGCACGGAGAGGCTTCTCTCCCCCATCTGCTTCCCTCAACCTGGCCTCCTCCAGACTACAACTCCTAGCAGTCTTGCCCATGGCGGTTGGGGGTTGAAGTCCAGAACAGCACGTGGAGCCCGTGTGGTGCAGCGGCAGGCACGCTGGAACAGGGCACGGGGGACTGCGGTCCTAATCCGCCATGGAGCCGGCTGAATGGCCTTTGGGCCACTCAGGGACTCTCAACTTCACCCAACTGACAGAGTCATTGTGAGGACAAAATGGAGAAGAAGAGGAAGAGGATAGTGTATGCCTCCTTCCTGGAAGTGGGGAGAGCCAGAATTCACAAGTAATTCACAAGTAAAGAAATTACATTTGCAAGTAAAGAAAGAATATTAGGAACCCAGAGCACCATGCGTGATAAGCAAACAGCCATTGCTCTTCAATTTTGAAACTGTCAAGTCTGTCTAAAGTTGCGTTTGTAGTTAGCATCCCTTCCTTGCTAGAAATGAACTTAGGAAATGGAAATCTTTCTGTGCAAAAATAAAACATGGAGAAATTTTCCACCCCATACCGCTGATTCTTAATGGGGAGACGTTAGGTAGCTGGCCAACGGATCAGAACACTGCCAAGCATTAACTGCACGGCACCACCAGCAATTAGCCAAATTAGACGATCCAGCATTAAAGAGACTTTGCTGTGTCTCTTTAACGAAAGAGTAGACATGAAACAGCAGTTTTTGCTGACTTAGACACAGCTTCACAGACACAAATGTGAGACAGATGCCAAAGAGGTTGTTGAGAGCTGGTCTTTGCCTCAGGTTCCAAAATGGAAGACAGTCCCCTGAAAATCCAATTCTTTTATTAGGGCTCCACAGGTAACGGAACAGTTTGAGCCCTGAACAGCCTTCTACCGAAGAGAAAAGAGAAGTCTCACGCAGAGTTGAATCCAAACTGGGAACCATCCTGTGCTCCCTCCCTTTCAGCGAAGCTTCTGGCCCCATCCGCAGGGTGGCTCTTGCACGAAGGGCAAAGCCCCTTCCGTGCAGTGGCTCATCCCTTCCAACACCTTTCCTCTGGGTCGAGGGCTGGGTCTCGCACCTGCTCCTGCTTCTTCTGGAAGACCCTCTTTCCCCTTCCAGGCTGATTCTCACGCTGGGACTTCACTAGGCACCACTGGAGGTTCATCAAAGGCTTTTTGCTCCCCACTGCTCCTGCTCCTGTCCCTCGCCCCCCACCGCCACCGAACAGTCTGCCCACCCTTTACGGCACAGTGGTGATTCGCCGATGGGACATTTTGGGGTGGTGCCCACAGCAATGCCTCAAATTCCGAAAGGTGCCCATGGGTGCAAAACGGCTGTGGGTCCCTGGCTTCCCCACGTGGAGCTGAACAGTCAGCAAGAGCAAAGAAAGGTATGGGGGCACCATGGGTTGCCCATGCAAGGGGGTGGGCTCTGGAAGTCGCCTATCGAGGCCCATCCCCAATAGCGACTGGACACATTTCACTGCACCAGTGGAAAGCCAGCCTTTGCCAACTTGGTTCCCTCCAGATGGCTTGGATTAGAATCCCCAGAATTTCTGTTCATGGCCCATGTTGGCTGAGGTTGATGGGAGCTAAGTCTAAAACATCCAGGGAGCACCAGGTTTGGGAAGCCTGACCATTGTAAGCAGAACCTAAATACTTTTGTTTCGGATGTTATCTTCCAAGCATGCCTTTCAGCAATGCGAGGGATGACTTTCAGGTCAGCAAAACATCAGAAGAATTGCAGATCCTGAGAAATACAGCTCAGGTGACATTCATCATGACCTGAAATTGCAAATCAATCCACAGGCTTCTCAATAAACAGAATAAGGCTGACATCAATCTCCTTAACTGGAAATTAACATCTCCAACTTGTTACTTGTTCCATCCAAAACCCTGGAGCCTACACCCAAGCCTATCCCAGTTGCCCAAGAATTTACAAAAATCGACCAAGCAAGGGTATAATGACCATGGGAACATTTGTTCCATTAGTTGCCCGAGCTCTAACTGAACACTGTGATGTAGCGGGGAAAAATAAAAAAGCTGTTATTATTTCAAAGATGCCAGTCTGTTTATTTAATTTCGATACTGCCCAACAGTCGAAGCTCTCTGGGTGGTTCCCAACAGCATATTCAAAAACACCATAAAATAGACCAATGAAAACCTATCAAAACCTCATAAAAGTCAGCAATACAAAAATCTTTGCTAAAATCATTCCACCTCAGACAGGCGGCCCCTCAGCCCTGTGCAGAGGAAATCTCCTTTCCAAAACATTGCTTCTTGCCCCTTTAATGACTCCTATAACATGGGGGGGCACGTTTTCGGTCTTGGGGGGGCGAACACAACCTCTCCCAGCTGCAACAGATCTTGGTCTTGCCCCAGCAGCACCTGTTAAGGCCCTGATACCTCGCAATCATGGTGGCTGAAGAAGAGAGGAAACATCTGGATCCAATGAAGCCAAGCAGGAGCTGCTTCATTCCCAGAGTGTCCCGAGGGTTTGCTCCTAGGATGCTTTTCCTCCCCTGCCCCATTTTATCCCAGCTGCAGGTGCTCGGGGCTGGGGGCCACCCAACAGAGCTTGCAGGGACGGCTTGTGGCTCTGCATCACCTTTTGACGCCTCTCCCTGATGCCGCCCTGAGTCCCTGATAAGCAACCAGGGATCTCTGTTTCAAGAATACTGGCAGGAGAGGGGGCTTTGAACTCCCCTTACTCTAGGCCAGCGGTGGCAAACCTTTGAGAGGCCGAGTGCCCAAACTGCAACCCAAGACCCACTTATTCATTGCAAGGTGCCAACACTGCAATAAAACCTGAAAACTGAGGTTTTAGTTTAGAAAAAGCACCTCACCGCCAGTCCAAGCAAATATCTATCTATCTATCTATCTATCTATCTATCTATCTATCTATCTATCTATCCTTGGCAGTCCACTGACTGGTCATGCGAAAGCTCAGACGAGTCATGGGATCGTGGCTTGTGGCATCACCGCCTGGTGCCGCTACTCCGTTCCGAGCATGCGCATGGCCCCTGTGTGCGCTGTTATCAGACGCTCGACTGCTGGGGCGATGCTGGGGTCACTTGGCTCGCATGCTGCCAGAGAGGGCTCTGTGTGCCTGCTGTGGCTCGCGGGCCATAGGTTCGCCACCACTGCTCCAGGCAATCCAGCAGCAAGGTGCTGCTTCCTCACCACCAATGAGAGAAGGGCATTGCCTATCTGATCCTGACCTTCTGATGATGGCTGGGCAGGGGGTGGCAAGGGGGTGTGAGCAGGGGCCCTCCGTGGTCTGCAGATTGCCCATACTTGGGGGCTAGAGAGAACGGTGACCATCACGGGCTCCACCAAAGGTGATCCGTCTGCACCACACGCTTCTCGGAAGCAGCGCGATGGAAGGTTTTACGACTGCGCCCTTGCACGTTTTTTGTGTGGGGCCTGGTGCTTCATCTCTAGCCTAGTAATTGAATATTGATTGCTTTTTATAGCGTGGTTTTATATTATATTTATTAGATGGCACACAGTTTTATTTATTCATGTATTTTATTGCTCGTGTGTCTTGGAAATATGATTAATGCCTTAGACTTTTTTAATGCAGAAAGTACGGCTGGTTCATTCCGTCAACTGGCATCTGGCTTGTTGCACATCGAACTACAGGTGGAAGCTCACCTGGTGGAAGGTTCCACCATCCCAAAATGTCTTTGCATGCAGAAAACCTGCGGGCCCAGTGGAATGTTTCTAGTCTAGCCTCCTCCTGGATATGCAGGGATTTGAGGGGTGGGTATGAAGCAGCCTTGGATGAGCAGTCGGAAGCATTGTGGGGTTAAAGAAAGGCAAGTATCTTCAGTTTAGAAGGTGGAAAGAGGCCCTTACCTCTGAGAACTGCAGTCTTCCGAAATCGCTCGGTGGACTGGCGATTTTAAACACCTTCTTGGGCATCACCCAGGTCTCCAAGGTCTCCAGCTTACTGGCAGCCAGATTGGTGGCGTGATGCTTGATGAGGAACCCCTGGAAATGATCTGCGAGGAAGTAGAGGTGGACTGAGACAGGATGGCCCATGGGGTAGTAGCTGGAAGACACAAACACGGGTTGGGAAGAGGCTAATTAGCCGTGGAGAGAGACAGAAGGGGTCTCACCGCTACAGGGGCACCGACGCTCGTGCGACAGGGATGGCCCACGCTCACCAGGAGGACCTGCCAGGGCCAGCTCGAAATGGCCCCTTGCTGCTCTTAGTAGCCTGGCAGTGCTCTGCATGGGCGGCTGGCACCGAGGCATTGTGGGGGAACGAGCAACCTGTTCCCAGAGGCAGCCGCTTTGCAAAAGGGACCCAGGGCAGGCATCCCGGGTGGGTCCTGCTGGGCCCCAGCGGCCACCCCAGGAGGCCAGTGCTGACACGTGGCCCAGGCTCCATCGCTTGCTGATCTGCAAGGGGAAAAGCAGGCCTGGCACACGGGAGTCCCGGCCACCTCTGGAAGCCAGAGCCAAGTCTGGGGACCTTCTGTTCTAGGCCTCAGATCGTTAAAGGATCCATTTTACAGAGTGGGGACCATCCGTATGGAAGCCAATGGTCTCTTAACAGTCCGTGGTTTGCATTAGCTGAAGGCCTTAGGCGGAATTAAAGACGCCACCAGCTGCACAGGGAGCTTGCTTTAAGGCATCGAGCAAGAGCAGCCTGCAGGGGGCGCCTCTGGCATGCCGGCCCTTGCTATCTCTGGGCCCTCGGCTGCGAAAGGCACTCTAGTTGGCGCGGAATGTGGCTGTCAGCTGCACGGCCTCCGCGACGACTCTCCTCCTCTTCCTTTTCACACTGGCAGCCGCGCTGACAAACGCACCGCGTGCGGTGACGGCATGGTTTGCACAGGGGCTGTTGGCCCCTTCTAACAAAAGACGCACCCGGCTGGAGACAGCTATAAACACTGCTGCTTTGCAGATGTGCGAAGTCAGAGGGGGAGCGATGAGAGGAAGCGGCGAGAGAGAGACCCCGAGGTTAGGTTTGCACACTGGATCGCTGCAGTCGAAGGGCACTTGCGGAAAACACTATTAAAACAACGTTCAACAAAACAGGCGCCCCTGTGCTCAGAAAGTGCCCCTGCCACACTGCCAATAGCGGGCCTGGCAGCAGCCGGCTGCCACCCTTGGTATGCACAGGGTGTCGCATGTCCATTGCCAAAAAAGAGGGCCAAAGAGGACACCAAAATCTGCTCATGCAAACGTATGTATGCAGATTCACATCGGGAAGTTATGAATACAACAGAAGCGCATCTCACATAAGAAGGATGTCATAGAACCCTAGAATAGTAGGAGCACTAAACAGCACCTTGGTATATATGCAGGCTGGAGACTGCGGATCGCAAGGGGGCGCCTGTTTGAACTTACCGACAGCTGTTGTCGCTCTCGGCGTGGAAAGACGTTTCTGCCCTCCTCAAGCCCAGGCGGGAGAAGGAGTGGTACATCGTCAGTGCCACGTCGCTGAGGCTGTGGGTGCCGTCCGGCTCGTCAAAGACGTTCTCCCAGTACGACCGAAGGCCCGGAGTGCCCGAGGGGTAGTTCCCGTACAGGTAGTAGTCCAGCTGGCCGATGATTTCTTGATTGACCACGGCTTCGAACTTGCGTGCAAAGAAGGTTGGTCTTGCGGTTTGCTGTGCGGTACGTTAAAGAAGAAAATGGGCAGGTGGACTCGCTTCTGATGACAAAATACAAGACTTTCACCTCTGACATTGCTCACACTTAGGGCTGCGGTGAATCTCCAAACCTCAGAGCGGAGATCCAGAGGTCTGCTGTGTCCTGCCAGCGTTCCTCGGGTGTCCATGCCCTCTTTGACTGACCGGTCTTCTCCCCTGACAACCCACCATTTGCTGGCTTTCAAGATCCATTTCACAGATTGCACCAGAAAGGGGCAGAGTAAGTGCTCGGGGGAGTTCCTAAACTTACTGCCGAGTGGTTCTTCTTTGAGCAAATCCGTCACACACGTCCCGCAGAACAATCCTAAGCATGTCTACTCAGGTATGTTCAGTGAAGCTTTCTCCTGGGGAAATGCCTTAGACAGGTCCAAAATATTGGGACAAACCAGCCTCTTCTAACTTAGAAGTCTTATTGCCAGAAACAAAGGGGAGACATTATGACCTGTCGATGCTGTTCTGACATTACTTTTATAGCCCCGCATTCTTCCTCTTGCAACACAAGGCACATTATGAGATGTTAACGGGAGGCTGGTAAATGGCCAACAGTGACCGAGGTTTCAAGTGGATTCGCTTAAATGTGCTCCACTCGTTCCCAGGCAGCCACTGGGATGCTGTCCTGCTTTACGAGCTTCTTTAATGCCACTGTGCTAGCTTGTAAAAGTGTCCCTTTTATTATTTTCTTCACATGTTTATAAGGCAGGCCCTTGGAAGGGCTCACTGAGCCTCCTGGAAAAGCCAACAGCACTATAAACCTTGGCTCGCAGAACTTGCTCCGGGCGTGTTCATCTTCCCTGCTTTTGTTGCCAGCCTGTTCTTAACCTGGACCAGTAATGGCGACCCTTTTAGAGACCGAGTGCCCAGACTGCAACCAAAACCCACTTCTTTATCGCAAAGTGCCAACACTACAATAAAACCCGAAAACTGTGGTTTTAGTTTAGAAAAAACAACTCAAAGTCAGTCCAAGCAAATATATATATCTCCTTGGCAGCGCACTGACTGGCCATGCGAAAGCTCAGACGAGTCGCGGTTAATGAGTTGCGGCTCGTGACGTCATCGGCTGGTGCCGCTACTCCTTTCCGAGCATGCGCATGGCCCCTGTGTGCGCTGTTATCCGATGCTCGGCTGCTGGGGCGCTGCTGGGGTCACTTGGCTTGCGTGCCGCCAGAGAGGGCTCTGTGTGCCTGCTGCGGCATGTGGGCCATAGGTTCGCCACCACTGAGCTAGACCCTTTCTCACCAGGAAAATAGGTTTACTTTAAGGGAGGGATCCATGAACTCTTTTGGTCTGGAAGCTGCATTCCAGAGGTGGGCAGAGGCTGAAGACAAAGGAGGCAGCACCAAACATCCCAAAACACTGCCGACTAAAGCGGAAAGCTCTTCCTGCCAGTAACTCAGCTCTTGGAGACGGATTCCAAACTTTTAGAATGGGTAGGTCAGTGTGCAAGACCCGGGAAAACAGCAAAGGGTGGGTGGTTTGGAAAAGGGGGCAGGGACAGGAAGGGGTGTGGGCAAATCCTCAGACCTGGATTTGGCCCCAGGTCTGAGGTCCCCCAGCCCTGATTTTAGATCTCCAATTTCCCCAGTCTGCCCCTCCTGCGCACGTGTGACAGGGCATCGTGCCACATGGAAGCCTGCAGGGTTCCTCTGATTGTACTGGACTAGAACTCCCAGCATCCACAACTGCTGGGAATTATAGTCCAACAGATCTGGAGGGCACCAGGCTGGGAAGCAGCTCCTGTGCCTGAACTGGTGGAACCTGCAGCACCCGCAGGAATCCCTGCAGCTCCCCGTGCTGTCGCCAAGCTGGACTGCTTCATCCATAGCTGTGGTGGACCAAGACACCGATCTCACAATCATGTGCGAGATCTCGGATAGGAACACAGGAAGGGGCTGTTATACCTGGTTAGGTTATAAAGCTGCTAACTCTGACTAGCAGTGGCTCTCCAGGGTCCTAGCCAAAGAGTGTTCTTGCCATCTCCTACCTGGACTTTTCAACTGGAGATGCCAGGAATCCAACCTGGATCTTCTGCATGGCAGGCACCTCCTCAACCACTGTGTCCAGCAAGATAACACAGACCCGCAGGTGCTGGCATAACCTTTAGTTAGCCTGGCCCTGGTACAGGGAGAATAAGCGCTTCCACTGGAATTAAACCGGGCTCTTTGCTTAGATGAAGCGCATTACTTCTTCCCTATTTGAAGAAAGGGCTATGAACGTACTGTAAACACACATGGTTGGTGTTGAAAGGCCCAAGGTTCCATTCCTAGCCTCTCCAGTTAGGGTTTGGAAAGACACCTGCTTGCACACCTGGAGAACCTCTGCCTGTATAGAGCAGGAGTCCTCCTGATGGTTTGGACTACAACTTGCGCAGGTCCCAGCCAACATGGCCTCTGGTTGTGGATTACAGAGGCTGTAGTACAAACCATCTGGAGTGTACCAAATTGCCTTCCCCTGCTACACACGATACTGACCTCGACTGACCATGCTCAACCAGATGCCTGCCAGATGGTTTGGAATACAATTCCCAGCAGCCCCAGAAAGCATGATTGTGGGATTATGGGAATTTTAGGGGAAAGCTGAGCTACAGCCCGATGCTCTACCAGGCTTCCTAATTGTTTGTCTCTGCCCCATAAGATGGGGCCTCCTGTGGCAGGAGACAGAACAGGTTGGAACTCACTTGGAATCGGTGGAAATCGGTGGGTTTGAAGTCATTTGGAGAACAGCCACACCAGTCCACGATGTTCTTGTACTGGCACTTGCACCCCAGCTTGCGGTTCCAATTTGTGATGCGCAGATTGTTGTCCACCATGGAGTCACAGTGGGGGCTGTTCTCCAGGACGGTGTGGAAGAAAGACTGCAAAAACAAATTCCACAGTGCTTTACTATGTCTCCGAGCAGGGGAGCTCTCTCCTCACGGGGGTCTGGGTGGCCCCTCTGGTGGGTCTTTCTGTCAAAGATTCTTGGTGGCAGCGCTCAAATGGTGGAACGCCTTCTTGAAAGAGGATTAGTTGGCCTTTTCTCTAGAATTTTAGGTGGACGGTAAAAATGTATCTCAATTAATTATAGCCTAACTTTTTTTTATCCCTGCCAGGCAGATAGCATATACCTTGTTCTCTCAATCTTTATCCCCCAACAGCCCTGTGAGGTAGGTTAGCCTGAGAGTCAGGGACTGGTCCAAAGTCTCCCAGTGAATTTCATGGTCAAATGGGGACTAGCCCAGGATCCCGAGTCCTGGATCAACATCCTGGCCACTGTGCCACAGTGGCTTTCATCCTGTCTTTAATTTATTTTAGACTCCTGCTGCGGCAATGTCTCTTTTAGCTGAGTTGCTTTGTTCCCTTCTCAAGCTGTTTTAATCATTTAATCAAGGCCAGACCGAGCGATGTCTGGATTTTTAAACATCCATTCCAGCTGAAATTTGCAACTTTTGGCCTATCCTGCTTTCAAGAATGGACTCAGCCTCTCCCCATTTCCCGAACTTGTATTTGCATCGGAAAGGATGCGTTTATGCAAATGTGCAGACCTCACTGGCCTGTGTGCATTCTCATAATTTAGCCTAGGGGGAAAATGTGCTTTTTCAGACCATCTTACTAATTTCCTTTTTTGTGTTCTTACTTGACTAAATTTGCATACAATTCTGGAAAATGAAAAACTGGTTCACAAGTCTGTAGAAGCTGCAGGACCTGGAAAAATCTGGGCTGCCACAGAATCCACGAAATGTCACAGAAAATATATCTCATCCAAATAGGCTGTGGAGTTCTCTATCCTCCAAGACAGGGCTACCCAGAGGGGGAGTGAGGCAGAAGCCTCAGGCGGCAGATCCTGGGGGAGCGTGCAGACTGGTGGCAAGCGTTGGAGGACAGAGCGGCGTGGACCCCACTCGGCCTGCTCAGCACCCCAAATGCTGACCTGGAGACGCAGAAGGCTTCGCTGCCAGTCCTGCTGGCCCCTCTCCACGGAATGGGGATGAGCAAATCGGGAGCCATCTTGTCCTCGCCTTAGGCAGCCAACATCCTGGGGCTGGGCTTGGATTAATCAACTGTTTTGTTTTGTGATCTTTCCTTCTTTGTAGCTTTTAATCTTACAAGCCAGAAGGTGAAGCAGAAATTCCACCCACCCACCCACCCACACACTCAAAGAGACTCAACACCCAGTGGCAACAACTGCATTTGAAGTGTCTGGATCAATACTAGTGATATTGAAAAGACAAATTCACATGGATCAACTGTGGGGAGGGATTGGGGAAGGATGATGAATTAATGGGTATTAATATAGTTGTGTTTTATTTTGCTTTGGTATGTGTTTTTTGGAAAAGGAGATAAAAATAATTAAAAAGACTCTGAACTGGGGTCCAAGGAGAAGGACACAGCACTAAGTACACCTGTCCAATGTTTTGCTTTCAAAACAAAGCTCAATCCTCACTGAATTTCTCTTTTGATGGGGAAATTACAACATGTTGTTAGCTGGAAATGACCTCACACTGAAACAGGCAGCTCAGCCCTATGGCAACAGGAAAGACAATCTGTCTCCTGCAGTTATTTCCCAAACAATTAAGTCTTTATCTGCCAATTCAAGGCAGCGAGGAATTCTGATTGGGGCTTTCTAATTATATCACTGCAATTCCAGCTGCTGTGGAAATCCTGTGTAATGAGGACCGACAGGTCCGGTGCTACCGCAGGGCAGTCTTGGCACGGAGACTGTTCAGGCATCCCCTCCTCAACAGAAGAGAGGAAATACATGCCTAAAAGGAGAAAGGAGGAGATGCAGGAGGTGCGAAGATCCTGCCTGGGTAACGATGCATTTAGGAATAATTCCTATAATTTAACTTCGGACATGTACGTACAGGGCTTGGGACGAGGGAGACGTGTGTCTCTTTTACCGTTTCCTTCCAGGTGAAGTTTCAACACCAACAGTTCAACAGCAAACTGAATACCGGCAGAGCACCTGCCTCCTGCACTGGAACGAGTTGGGCCATATTACTATTTAACTAATAACAACAGTTTCTAAACGTGCATCTATACAAAGAAATCAGCATGTGCCGCTTCTATGCAAATCTTTTGCTTTCTTTTGGGCTGGCAGATTTCTACTGCGGGGCAATTCCTGATGGTCGCTCCTGTGGGGAAGTCAGCAATGGGTACTCTGTGTTGCCTGCATAGCTTGCCATTGGCCGTCCAGCTGGAGGCCCAGTGGCTTTCCCTTCTGCGGGATCTCGATCTTCAAACGGGAGCTGGACTGGCAGCGCTTCAGACAGAGGATGTTTTCAGAGAACTCCCCTTACACAGCCCCTGAGAGAGGGCAGTCCTCGGAAGATGAGGACACAGGACCCCTCCTCATGCATCCCACGTGGGTTCTTCCTTGGGTGGGCATGCTTCCACGATGCTGACCATTAGCGTTTCTCCACAAATGCCCCGGAAGTTGGCTCGATTCCCAGACCAGGGTGTGGAAGAAACACGGCCGCTGCTGGCCGCCCAGCGGGACCAAGTTAAGGCGCCTGCTCCCTCCCAAGGGGGACTTTTCCGAGGACCCTGGTGCCGGCTCTGGGGACTGACGCGGCAGGTTAACAAGTCATGTGCAAGCAGATTCCCCCTTTGTTCATTTTTAATTTTTAAGGAGTCGAAGATGCCCCTAACAAGCATACACTGTAGAAAGAACAAAAGGCACACGATCAAATTTACCGGCAAGAACAATGATAGGACTTTAAAGAGCAGGGACTTTGTTGGTTAAACAAGGGCGGGGGGAGATCAATGCCAAGATGATGATCTATAAATACACTGAATGGCGTTGGCGTGGCTGACCTCCCCTCCTCCCCCAAGACAATCCCCTTACCCCTTTTTTAATGTTAAATGACAGCCCAGTGAATATGGATTTTATGCTTGAATTGCCTCATTAAACCATGCACTGTCATTCAGGCGAGAGGGATGGGGTGGTGCTGTGTGTGTGTGTAAACCTACACAATTACCCGCTGCCCTTTCATACTGACACAAAACTCTGCCAAGACAGTGCAGGAAAAGGTGATCTGAGTTGAAAGGGGGGACCTCTCCTTTTCGTGCGTGAGAAGCAGCACCGGCAGCAGCGGGAAAGGAGGGCACCTGATAGGTGTGTGTGGGTAGACACCAGCCCTTGGCCTGGGCATTTTCTGAATGCATTCACGGGTGCTTCTGGGTTAATCTCGACCCGGGATGTCATGTCCAAATGGGGGCTTCCCTCTCTACACAGCCCCACATGTTACGTCAGTTACAACGGAAGCTTCTCTGCTCTCCTACTGTCCTGCCGTGCTTTCCAAGGGGGTCGACATTCCACGCCGGTTTTAGCAGGTTTGCCGACTCAGGTGCCAAAGAAAGGGAAACCCGGAGCTGGTGCAGTTTTGCATTTTTAACTATAGCACCGTTGTGGCGGCAGAATGGACGCGCCGCAGGACAGCGATTACGGGACAATTTCTGGGGGTCCATTTGGGGGCAGTGCTGGGCTGTCTTTCGGTCCAGGCTGTGGTGCAGCAGAACCAGGGGCTGGGGGGTCACATTTTCCGACACCAAGCTCAGGGTTGCTAGAAGAAGTGTGCTGGCTGGCTGCCAGCAGGCTCCCAGGCCAGGAATAGGGTGTTGTGACTCACAGGCAAGGTTCTAAGCAATTTGGGCCCAACCTTCCCCACCGGCCTCAGTTCTGATGCTCTTCAAACTCATCTCTTTACACAAGGAAGCACAATCAGCCAGATCCACCAGAAAAAGAGCACTTCCACCGCCGGTTTATTGGCACTGTGCTGTTTTGATGGTTATATTTATAGCTGCTTTAGGGCTGCGCGTGATATTTGCTGCTTCAAGTCCTCTGCGGAAGACACTGTATCGGTTCAAATGATAAATAACGCAAATGAATGAATAAATGGAATGCAATAACTGAGCTGCTGATGTGATTTACCACCCACCTCGCTCTGGGCTTAGCTGCAATTGTCCCTGCAGTGGGGCTGCTGCGAGGGGGATGATTTCCCCCCAGTGCAACTTCCTGTTATCATGCCAAATATATGGGGCTGCCTTGGTCTCGAATGGGTAATTAAGACCCATTAGAGGGGCCCAGTTTGGCCCTGAATGGACCTTCACATCCTGCCCCTTTCCGCCATTTTTAAAATTTAAATATAGAATGGAAAATATTTATTTTTTGTTTATTTATGCATGTATTTATAGGCCTTCCTAGCCAGCTTACAATTGCGAAAATGTTCTCCTTCCTCTTTCTGAACCAGGCTCTCCTTCCTCTTTCTGAACCTGCTGCTGATACAGGGGGCAGGGGAGGAACAGAAATTAAGGAAAGGAGAGAAATACGAAGTTAGAGCTACGAGAAAGCAGCGGCAGTAGCTGAAGAGGGCTGGGCTAGCCGAAAAGTCAGGCTGAAGCTGAGAGAGCGAGCAAGCGCACTGGGGAAAGTCCTGGGAGGAAGCGTGGGTGCTCCACTTCCCCTCCTCCCAGCCTCAAGTTCCACCCTTTCTCTCCCGTGCTGCGCCTCTGCACCGGCCAGTCCTAGCCCAGGTGAAGCTGTAATCAACTGACGGCAGGTGCTGCCATCAGTTCCTGTGCCACACAGGCCAGGGGGTTAAATGGCTGCGTCCGGGGGTCCGTCCAATCCACAGAGCGCAGGGCTACTGGCTAAGGAACCTTAACGGGACTCCTCACACCAAGAGGCCAGCAGAAGCCAGCTGCTGAAGGAAAAGCCCCGGGAGAGAGAGGTTGGCCTCTCTCTTGGTTGACCTCTCATGCCCTGCGTCCAAGCATCCTCCAGCAGGTCCCTGGCTGACCACTGTGTGAAGCAGGAGGTGCTGAGATGGCTCCTTGGTCCACTCCGGCAGGGTTCTACCTACCTACCTACCACATCTGTATGCTGCTCAATTGTGCCACGGCAGCTCTGGTTTTCTGTTCTTGCTCGCTGTGACAGCTCAACGGAACTCCAGCTGTAGAGGAAGTGGACCTTGGAAGGATTGTTTCTGAGGAACAAATTCGGGAAGAGGCCTACGCGGCCCTGGGCTATCCCACCTGGTCCAGGTTTGGGGAAGCTGCTCTCAGCAGGCTCCCTTGTTCAGCGAGTCCACATTTCCGCTGCTCTTGCGCTTCGTCCTCCATGGCTACCGCTTGCTTGCCTGACAGGCAGACCGCTGGGGAGCGAGCAGGGCACGAAACTTCCTGATGGTCCTTCTCAGCACCTCCCTTGTCTGGGACAGGGTGAGTGGCAGGGAAACAGGCCAGTTGCTAAGGTGAAGCAGAGGAGCAAATCTGGGCACTTCTGCCAGAAGACCCCTGCTGGGGGGTAAGCCCCTTAGCAAGTGCCCGACCATTCCCGCCCAGCACCGGCCTTGCTGGATTAATGGAACTTCCAGACTGGCCCAGTACAACAGCATTTGCCTATGAAAAATGCAAATATTGGGTTGCATCCAATGTCAATTCATTTCTGCATCAATTAAGACTAATATTGCTAAGTCAAACTGAGAGGACGGGGGTGATAGACAAGACTAGGAAATGTGATACCCCTAATTTTTTAAAAAATAACTTCATTCTCTCACTTGCTACGAGGAAATGATCACACCAAGATCTTCTAGGAAGCCGGAACAGAGATGGGGACACAGAGATGGGTGTCGCCATGTCTCTGTGTCTAAAGAGCTGCGGGTGCGTAAGCAAGTGGGGAGGCAGACATCTGTCGTGATCACTCAACAGTCTGTCTATATCAAGAAAAAAGGAACCCTGTGATCTGGCTGGTGGCAGCCAGAAACGCTGCTGAGATGCATATTTGAGGCCGAGTCTCCTTGACATGGAAGAACAAAGATTTACTGTGCAGAGTATCTAAGATTTATCTGGACCTTGGCCAGAGCCTGGGCCGCTGGGGTTTCACTGGCTGGGGCTCCAGCCTTTTTCAGTGATGACGGGACCTCGGTGGTACAGCAGAGGTGCGGACCGTCTTCCAGGCTGAAGAGGAATTCGATTTTGGAGACACTTTGGGGGCCACAAAGGGGAAAGGGCAGGGACCAAAAGACCCAGCATTTTGTAGCTTAAAGCTCCTACCGCTGCGTCTTGGTCCTTATCCCCCTCTGTACAAGGACATCTTTTCCCTTCAATCAGCAGCAACAGGGCGAATGCCACCAGACAGAAAACCCTTTAACAAGCAAACATATAACACCGTTTAAACTTCTGGGGCTTTGCTCAATTTGAGGGGAGTGAGTTCTTCTGGCCGTGCCTGCCAATACCTGGTGACTTGCATGTGGGGAGAGGAGAAAACGAGCTGGCAAGTTAGCATGGACATGAGCAGGAACAAGCTTGGAGGAGAAACCTGGAGATGGTTGAGCAGCTGAAATGTTGCTGATTTGCATGTCCCTCGTGCCATGTCCCAACTCAGAACTGGGGCCTTGCACTGGTTCCCATCCACACGTGCTCTCCTGTGCCCCATGGCTGAAATCGGCGTCCCTCTCCGATAATGTTTGATCCGAGTGGGGGAGTCCCTTGCAACTTCTAGCAGGGAGAGTCAGGACAAATGAAGGGAAGGACTTATGCACACGGTGGAGAACTGAACTATTTATATTTATAATAACTATTTATATTTATAACTATTTATACTTATAGGCCGCCTAGAACTGCTGAGGCCTTCCTGTAGTGGCATCCACCACCACAAAACGGGATGGCCGCCAACCCGGGGGGCTTTAAAAGGGAGCTGGGGAAATGCTTGGGGAAGACTACCAGTGGCGACTTGTCGTGGCTCCTGGGCTACCGCCAGGATCAGAGGCGGCCTTCCTACGGACACCTTTTGCCGGGGAGCATGGGTGGGTGGGTGGCATCGCCCTCTTGTTCTTAGCTGTGGGCTTCCTGCGGGCAACGCATGAGCAGAACATTTGCACACAAATTGTGTTAGGTAGGAGTGCTTTTTGGGAGCTGATTTGGACAGAACGCACAGTGCTGTGGTTTGTACCGATTGCCTCGGTGTTAAAAGAATGTGCAAACTGCAGCCTGTCTCAGGTGTGAAAGTACATGGAAAAACCCCTGTCTGGGCCCACTTTGGATCACTGGATCTGATCAGGCTGGAAGTCTGTCGAGGTCAAATGAGACAGACTTCCAAGCATCAGTTCATCCCTACTTGGCAATGGGTTGGGCCAAAGATAGAGGGGCTCTCTGACCAAGCCAGTCTAGGCCTCTCCTCTCCTCTCCTCTCCTCTCCTCTCCTCTCCTCTCCTCGCCAATGCCCTGCACCCTTTTCTTCCTCTCTGAAAGCCCTTTCAAAGCCACCGTTGTTCCCAGAGCTCCCATGGCAGCTGGGAGATGGCCAGGGGAAGTCGCATGATCAGATCTTTTTCTCCACATTTGTGGCTCTCTCTATGGCCGTAGCAAAGGAGACTTAAAGAGGCCCAGGCACATCTGGGGAGCCACTGGGGGTGCTGTGCAATGTGCGAAGAGTGGTGCAGCTTCAAAGAACCAGTCAAAAGAAGATGCCACCCTGGAGAATTGCAATCCAGGCGATCCAGGGCACCCCTCCGTGGCATTGGTGTGTCCGTGGGAGATGGCCTCTGCATCTACTCACCTCAGCTGGGAGCAAAGTATACGAGTAGAACCTCTTCATCTTGGTCACCAGGTCATCGGTTGAAAATGTGACATATTCCACAAACTTCCGGTTCAGCAGGAACCAGTCCGAACCACCGTCTATGGTGATTCCTTCTGGAATTTTCCGGTCCCCAAGGCGCCACATGTGAGTATCGCATTCCAGGAAAAGTCTATCCAGTCCTTGTTTTCTTATGAACCTAGAAAGGAAGGAAAAGGAGCGTTAGAAAGATTAAACATATCTTATCACAACAGGATCTAAGACACCTGGGGGCTTTTATTTCCATTTTGATTCTCATGCTGGGGGACTGGACGTTGATGACTGCTGTTATTTACCTTATAGAAGTTTGCTATTTCATCATTGTCTTATTTCTTTATTGTGTACCTCACAATAAAGGGGTGGGAGGGTTCCATCCTTAAAGGCTTCCTAAACATAATGTAAAATAAATAGCACAGCATAAAGACCTATAATTATAATCTCAAAGGAGAGCCGAGTGGTTCCTTTGCATGAGGAAAGGATAATATGGCTCCTGCCCCAACCTCGGGCCAGTCCTTCCAGAGACAAGAAGCATCCATCACCAGACCCTACTTAGCCGAGTCTTCCATAAATCTGGGAGAGCAGGCAGATGCCGGAAGACTAAGCATGTCTTGCCGCTCACACTATCAGGGCGTTTAAAGGCCTCCCCAAAGGCAAAGCTGGAAACAAAACAAGGCCAGGTGTTCTACCTGGGCAGGTACAAGAAAACGGAGTTGAGTAAATAGGAACAGCTGGTATAGATCCCAAATGCACATTCACACTGCAGTGACCACCTTTGCACACGCTCCCTGGTGTGCATGAAACTTTTGGCAATTAGCAACTTTATCCTTGATTAGCATTCCTCTGAAAAGCAAACGAGCCAAGAAAGAAACCAAACCACCTTACAGATCTAATTAAAGTGGTGGGGGGTGGTTAAAGCCCAGACACACAAACCTCTCTGCACATTTATGATGTCAAGAAGACAAAAGTCTAAGAAGCTGGGAATTTTTTACTTTGTATAGATGAGCTTCTAATTTCACATTCTATTACAAAGGAGTAATGGAAACATCTTGCAACTTTAATGCTGGGTGCTAGAATCTCCAAATACAATATTTATGCAATTCTCTGCAAAATTAAATATTTATGCAAGTGAAAGCTCAATCATTAATTCCTATTATTTGAGGTGGGAAAAAGCCCTTGGAAACAACTTTTACTTTGAATACACGCTTTGAAATAATTATTTTAAGAAAGGGGTGACTTTCCTAAATAGGTGAACAATGTCCCTTGATGACAAAATTGCTTTGTCGCATGACTGGGCAAAAACGGTCCAAATGCCCCCATCGTCTGGAGCCAGTGAGCTGGAGCAGACGTAGTCCCAATTTCAGTCCCATTGAGTTCAATGGGTCTGCTTCCTCTAAGCATGAACAAGTCTGGATATAACTCGGTTCCATTTTTCCCCTCATGGAGAATTTGGGGACGCCCTTTCAGTCGGTAGGCTGGCTTAAGTCTGGGCCGAACAGGCATCTTCCTCCTCCTCTGCCTTCCTCTTCCCCTCTTGCTTTGTGTTAAGCAAAGTTCCCTGTGACACATGAAGACTGAGCAACTCTGGCTTAATTTCCTCTAACGAACCAGGCAAAGGAGCCAGAAGCATCAGGCTGCCATTTATCCGCAAAGATCATCCGAACCGGGCCAAACGGTTCGCACGCCCTCACTGGCTCCAAGCACTGGGGCTCCCATCTGCTGGGCACGGCCACCTCCAAACTCAGCCACACCTGCCCATCCAAAAAGGTGACGGTCACTGGATGTCTTTGAGCTGCAGCAGCTTTCCTGAGCTTGATTGTGGCTGGGAGGCGCGTGAGGCTGGAACGGGGCGGAAGACGGGGCAGTAAGAGAGGCTGGCGCCTTCTGCCCCCTCCAGACAACGGCAGTTTGGACAGAGAAGACACCTTTGCTCTAGCTGTTTTGTCCATGCCTGCTGTTCCCCTGAAGCCCTGGAAGTTTACATGCAGGGAAACACAACTCCTGGGTGATAAAGTTTTCCCACCTTTGCTCCAGAAGACAGCAAAATGATTCTTCAGGGACTGTCTCGTTCCCACTTCAAAGCAAGTAATATTACCCATGAGGCTAATTATTGCTGATTGCAACTTGGCAAGGCTTGAAATAATTAAAAAAAACCCTGAAATTCCATCTCTGGTAAGCACCTCCCGTGAAAGGCGCAGAACAACGAGTATGACATCTGCTGTGTCCACTGGAGATTAAATATTCATCTTCTAACATTAATCATTATAATGTTCTGCAATAAAGTCTAAATGACATCCCAAATTAAAAAGGTTAGCAAAGGGGCTTTCTCTCTCCCTTGCTTGCTTTCTTCCTCCCCTCCTAGCAATTAACAACCAACAGATTCGTTGTAAGTATTTACTAACAAACCATTTGTCCCTGCTAGTTTTAACATATGGTTGGAACATCCACACATTTGAGAATGAAGAGGCCACTCTGGGGTCATAAAATCCGTACATTTTAAGGTGTTTCCCCCAAAACTTTAAAGGAAAACTCTGTTGTATCCTGGCATTAAGACAATGATGGGTTTCTTTAAAAACAGCAGACAGCGACATGGGAAACAGGCTTAAAAAACAAACAAACCTTCCTTTAATTAGTTGATGATGCTTGAAGATGACATTGTATTGGCATGGAGCATTAACTTACCGTTGGGGGTTCCAATGCATCCCTCCAGGATCGAAAAGAACACATGAGTGAGGTTACGGGGCTGTGCAGGCTAGTCCCCACCCCCTGCAGCTGCTGGCTTGATCCCTTTCCACCAGCGTGATCTGTGGTGGTAACACCACTTTGTTCTCTGCACGGGTGCAGCTCATCAGCATTGAAATCAGCTGAGATCAAAATCACTCATCATTCTAAAAAAGAACATACCGCACAAAGGCTCTCTCCATCCTTCCCCAGAGTCCCAATTTTGGGGGGGCCATCACCTCCCGCCAGCATACCCAATGCGAAAAATGTAGTCTCAATCATCTGGAGGGCACTAGATTGGGGATGAACGGCCTAGGACAGCGGTGGCGAACCTCTGGCACGCAGAGCCCTCTCTGTCGGCACGCGAGCCAAGCCGCCCCAGCAGCGCCCCAGCAGCCGAGCATCGGATAACAGCGCACACAGGGGCCATGTGCATGCTCGGAAAGGAGTAGCGGTGCCAGGCGATGATGTCACGAGCCGCGGCACATTAGCCGCAATGATGTCACGAGCCGCGGCTCATTAGCCGCGACTCGTCCGAGCTTTCGCATGGCTGGTCAGTGCGCTGCCAAGGATGGAAGGATGGATGGATAGATAGATGGTTAGTTGCTTGGACTGGTTGTGAAGTGCTTTTTCTACACTAAAACCTCAGTTTTCAGGTTTTATTGCAATGTTGTGATTAAATAAGTAGGTTTTGGGTTGCAGTTTGGGCACTTGGTCTCTAAACAGTTTGCCATCACTGACCTAGGATTTTAACAGTCGAGACAAGCACTCAGAAACACCCGCAGTGCGCCTGTACTGTATGCTGCTTTAAAATTGCTCTTCCTCCCTCCAGGCCTGAAAAGCAAACTGGTGTGCCCCTTCATGCTGCATTTCGATCCCAAATTTTGTAGCCAGAGTGGTTATTTCTCCATTCTTGGGGGACACCTATTTCTCCTTTGATCAGGGAATTCAAAAAACCATGCATGTAATAATAGTCAAAGGAAAAGCCAATAAAGGCACGGTGCGAGAACCAACAGGTGCCGGTATGGATATTACGAAACACACCACCTTTACATCCTTTAAAAAAATCAATGGATAGGGCATTTCAGCAATTATTATATCATGCTTTCTAGATGCAGCAAGCAGGACTTTGGGGGCTGATCTACTTCAGGGAGACACTGTAGTCAATTAACCAAAATTAGTAGCGGCATGAAATTTCAAACAAGCAAAAAATGTTCTGTGGATATGCTGGTTACCCAGCGCTGGTGCTGCAGGGAAGCAAGAGGTTAAAAGGCTTGGCTGCAGGGAGAATGAATTGCGGTTTATGTGAAGTGCTCGGCAGTGCAGGGCATTAGCGGTGAATCATTGTTACAGTAATACACAAGCATTTGGGAGATCTGCCACGCTGATTAACTGCTCAGAAACAGACGCATGTCACAGTCGAGAAAGAGGCAAGCACAGGATGCTGAGACAGACATGGATCTCAGCCGAGGGACCAGCTCTGTCAGCTAAAAGCCCTCCAAACTGGTATCTGCTGCAAACAGACGCTAGAGTTTGGGGTCATTTTTTGCTGTTTTGGGCCACAAATCGTAAGTTTTGTGCTGCCAAGCACAGCACTGCACTGATACATCACATGCGGCTTCACAGGTAAAATGCGTGCGCGCATGCACAGAGAGAGAGAGAGAGAGAGAGAGAGAGAGAGAGAGAGAGAGAGAGAGAGCGAGAGCGAGCGAGCAGCTCCTCAGGCAACTCCAGGCCTGAGGACATTCTGGGCTGGTAGGTCCTCTCCTCTACTGGGGGGCCTAATTAATTAATTAAAAGCTTTTTAACTACTGTCCGATCACAAAAGTCTCAGGACAGTACTACGGTAAGAGGTATAGCATTATCGATCCTCAGATAAAACCCAGTTAAAACAACAGTTAAGACTTAAAATGCTGGGCAAAGAAAAAGGGGTTGGCCTGGTGCCGAAAGGAATAAAATGTCGGTGTCAGGCGCACCTCTCTGGGAGCATGTTCCATAACTGGGGCATCACCGCAGAGAAGGCCCTTTCCCAGGTAGCCACTCCCCTGATCTCCTTCAAAGAGGGCTCCTGAAGAAGGACCTCCGACCCAGATCTGGGGGGGCAGGTATGTATGGAAGGAGGCGTGCCTTCAAATATCCAGGTCCTAAGCTAGTTAGAGCTTTATAAGGCATCACCAACACCTTAAATTGGGCCTGGACTTCAATTCGAAGCCAGTGCAGATGGTACAGGACCGGCGTTACGTGTGCATCTCTGCCGGTCCCTGTGAGCATCCTGGCTGCTCTGTTCTGGACCAAATGAAGTACCCAGACTGTCTTCAGGGGTGCCCTTTGTAGAGCTCATTACAAGAGGCTTCCATGGAGGTTAGTGGCAGGCAACACGCGGGTCTGTCCTCATATTTCAAGTGTCCACAGCTCTGTGCTGTTTTGCTTCGGGGCAGAACA